CCATATTATTTTGAGACACGTTCTGCAAATATCAGTGGAATGTTCTTGTGTCTCTGCCAGAAACAGCTCTTCTTAAGCCTGCAACCCAGTCAGTACACGCCTGCTCACCTGAGCAGGGATTATCACAAGTGTGGGAAAAGTCCTGCAAAACAGTGCTACTGGCGCCAAAAAGTCTGAGTGAGGGGCGTGGCCACGCCTTAAAGTCCGCCCAGTGCACCCAGAGTGAGCCACTGAACCCCAGCAGTGGCTGAGGTTCATGTTCATCCTATGTTAAGTCCTTCTAAAGTCAGTGTGAACTGTGTAATCTTGTCCACAGCAACCGGTATGGCCTATTGCTTTGTGGATTACAAATGCCCAGTTGCCCAACCGTGGCTGGGGCCCTGGCCCCAGCCACATAGAAATCTGTAAATGACATACAGCATAAAAGTCTAGTAATACCTGGTTACATGCCATATTATTTTGAGACACGTTCTGCAAATATCAGTGGAATGTTCTTGTGTCTCTGCCAGAAACAGCTCTTCTTAAGCCTGCAACCCAGTCAGTACACGCCTGCTCACCTGAGCAGGGATTATCACAAGTGTGGGAAAAGTCCTGCAAAACAGTGCTACTGGCGCCAAAAAGTCTGAGTGAGGGGCGTGGCCACGCCTTAAAGTCCGCCCAGTGCACCCAGCGTGGAGCGTGTGAGAAAGAGGAGAAACACGGTAGGTTACCTGCAGCTTTATGACCAAATGGCAAGTTTTGCTACAGTACCGGGGTCGGTACCAGACTATCAGATGGTGGATACTGGGGTGCACCTGGAACTCTGGGAGGGATTCGCTCTTGGCATGATCAACAGAATGGAGAGATTTTGCCTTCTGTGTCCTGACTGCCGGAAACCCACTGCAGTGATTAGAGCCTGACTAAGGTGTGGGCACTGTGACAAATCACTGCTGAGACTGGAGGCCAGCAACCTGCCACAGGTAATTTATTCTGTGGATCTCAAGTCGGGACTATGTGTTGAGAGGAAAAGAGGAATCCCAGTTGGCTGGAGGAAATCAAGAGGTGTGTGGCGTGCAATCCTCCAATTGGTCAGGTATCCGCCACTACGCTAACCAATCCTAGGTTTGGAGGCCCTGGTAGGGTGGTGGACCAGCCCGTAAATATGGGATAGTCAGGGCTGGGGAGCCAGGTGGAAGAAGGAATGCTGAGGAAACTGTTGGTGGCCTGGGAGGGGTCCCCTAGGTCCTCTAGGTTTGGGGGAGAGGCTGGCCTCCAGGCTGGGCTCTGGCTGGCCCAGGAGGATCCATTCAGCAGCACAGCATGAACAGGATCAAGGCCTGGAAGCAGTGGGAGAAAAGAGGACAGAGTAAGTACATAAGCACACCCTGAGATTCACAATGGGAAAGACTGCCATCTCCTGGGAGATCTTCAGAGCAGCCAAGGGGGCTGGTAGTGTCTGCAGCTTGTGGAGCTGGGAACAGTTCTGCAGGGGAGAGGAGACATATTTGCATGTAGCCTACAAGAAGCTAAGTTGATTTCAGAGGGTCTATGAGTTCCTTGTCTGTAACGGGCTGTTGCTACTGATCCGCAATGACTGATGGTTATCAAGGAAAAGAACAGTCCAGGATCTTGTCTGATCATGATCATACTTGATGTAATAAAAACACATAACCAAAATTATACTTGTTTTAAATTTTCATAGTACAAACTAAGTTATATTTTAGATTGTGTGTAATATATCCATTCTTGCTTGTTCTGGTGCTTTTGCTAGTATAAAAAAATGTATACCCCCTGTTGTGTTCAGCTGCAGTACTGCAGCCGAATGCAACCCATTCAGTTGAATTGGGCTGCGCAGCAAGTCAAATGTTGGGCAACAAATTTCTACAAAACAATTGGGATCTTGCTTAGTGTCCTGAAATTGCACAGGCTACTTTTCACATGAAGAATCTATTAAATAGCAAAGAGTAAGTCATGTCTAGTGTAAGACTTTGGCTAATGATGGTCCCAGCTCACACATTATAAAAGGCTACTCTCCCAGCAGCCCATTTTTAGTTTGTTGGAGTTCAGTAAGAGTAAGGGACAGCTGAACAAAAAGGCTTGGGGCCCCCCACAAACTCCATACCAGACCCATGTTGATGTAAGGGATACTTCTTTTCATTCACATAACACTTTAAATAGTAACTAAATACATCATGCACTTTGACAAATGTCCAAGGGAAAGATAAATACATCATCAATCATGATGACCCATATCAATCATGCAGAACAATGGCAACAGACCTACCAAAAGTAAAATCATTCCGACGTCTAAGAGGATCTGCTGCCAATTACTGCTCACTTTAATAAAATAAGAGAGAGATAACTGTGGGCATCCCTTACTTTGAAGAGGGCTTAAGGAAGGCTTCCAGAGTCAGGTATACCTTCCTCATACTACAAAGCGAAACAAAAACGAGAAGCACACAGACCTTGCGCATTACCTCAATAAACAAAAATTTATTAATAAGAAAAGGTACAAACAGCGAATAAAATCAGGCATGTAAGTCTTCACAGGGACTTCAAAGATAAGGAGCCAGAGCGAGTCCCATCGTGGGGGTAGACACTCAGTTCAGCTGACGCGTTTCGAAGGCCATACCTTCTTCATCAGAGCAGGTATGGCCTTCAAAACGCGTCAGTGGAACTGAGTGTCTACCCCCAAGATGGGACTCGCGCTGGCTCCTTATCTTTGAAGTCCCTGTGAGGACTTACATGCCTGATTTTATTCGCTGTTTGTGAGTACCTTTTCTTATTAATAAATTTTTGTTTATTGTGGTAATGCACAAGGTCTGTGCGCTTCTCGTTTTTGTTTCGCTTTGTAGTGTTGGTCGGGCTTCCCCAGCCTTGTTTGGAGCTGCACAACCTTTGATGCACTGGTGGTCGCTTTTTTTCAGTTTTGGTTCCATCTATTTGCCACCCGCCTGGGTCCTAGAGCGCAGAAGAAATCGTGTTTGGTCTAATACCTATCTCATAGACTGTTTCATAGACAGGTTTTGGGCATCCCCCAAGCTTGGCACTTAAAAGAATTTTGCAATTTTAATGTTTTACTTTAAGCATTATTAAAATCGCTGCTCCCTGACAACATTTTTTTTTTAACGGTAACGCCCTCTAAGTTAGCTAGATAGAGTTTGTTCTTTTCTTTTTTTAAATGGAGGCTGAGTAGCAGCCTGGTATGAGTCAGCTTGGGAGTGAGGAACTGAGTTCACCTCAGTGCAGACTGGAAGGTTCTACATGGCAGGGCCTCTGGAGCCCTTCCACCAGAAACGTAAGAACTTTCTGGAACAAGGGTGGAGGAGGGGAGGAAGTTCAGATCTGCATGTTTGAGGGACTCTGGCCAATTCCCCCAGGAGGCTGGGCATGGTGACCAGGGCAACCCTCAAATATCATAGAGCCTGGGGAGGAAGGGGAGTCAGGTGGAAGATGGATTGAGAGAAGGCTGGAGTGTGGAACCTCGGAGGGGGCCCCAGGAAGGGGAACCTACCTACAGGCTGGTTGCTGGACAGGGGGATCTCCACTGCCCAAAGTCCTGAGCAGCAGGGAAGGAGCCAGTCCAGCAAAAGGTCTGAAAGTAGCTACCAATCCACCACACTGACAGGACAGGACTACTACACTCCCTGGGCCAGATAAGGGGAGAGGACGGTCAGGTGCAATATCCAACTAATCTTCATCCAGGACGGCTTACCTGCAAACTCTTGGGACCCCCCTTGATCAGGGATACCCATAGTACAGCTGGGTGAACAGGATGCTTCATCCGGGGTCTGAGGAGGTACACCAAAAAGGGACAGTACTATATATTTGCTAGTCCACATTTTCTGTACATAGCTGCTAAGAAGTTCGACCTCAGGTTTTACACTTCCTTGGGTATTCCATATACTCCCAGATCCCATCCAAGTTGTTAACCCCTTAATAAAAACAACTAAAAAACAGCTCAAGGACTGTTGTACTGACTCTGAAAGTACAAGTGTGAAAAAATACATGTTGCCTGGCTGTGCTAAGCTTAGGGGGACCAGATCAAATCCAGCAGCCCTTACAATGGTAGTGCTACATAATTTAGTTTTTTTTTTCATTTGGGCACGTCTCCCAGGACAGTACCTAGCTCCCCATGCCCTTTATGTCATAATCCCTTGCCTTTTATTCTAATGGCCATTACAGATTTCAGATATTCAGCTCCATTTGATTTCAGTGGGGTTTGGATTCGTAATCTGAAACTTCAGGAACTGAATCTGGGTACATTCGTATCATCACTAGTGAAGAGTAAGTATTGCTTCAGTAACAGGATTGGTCTCAACATTTGAAATAAAAAGCCAGAGTTAGTACATTATAGTAGAACCTCAAAAAAGCTGATATCCTGATATAAAATAAAAGGAAAGGTTAATTTGTCCTTGAGACTGAAGTTAAAGCCATTGGATTTAGATCATTCTTTAACTTGGTGGAATTTCAGATAAATATAGTTTTTTAAATGGCTTCAACATGCATTATACCTGACCTAAAATGAAAAGGTTGATTTCAAGAGAGTATTAAATACATATTTTGCTCTTAAATGCGTTGAATGAACAATGTCTATATAATATATAATAATCCATAACATACTGTATCCTTGTTCAAGAAAAAAACACATTTCCCACTCTTGCTAAGATATTGTTTAAAAAGAGCAAGGGACTGTGTTCCTGGTAAAGAAAAAAATGTCAATACAACTGAATTTTAATCCATCTAGCTGAGAGAAAAAAAGCTTTTTTAACCCATGAGCCTGCAGGGCACTTATAACCCCTTCCTGCCCAGGCTAATTTCTAGCTTTCAGCGCTGTTGCACTTTGAATGACAATTGCACGGTCATGCAACACTGTACCCATATGAAATTTTTATCATTTTTTTGTGACAGATAGAGCTTTATTTTGGTGGTATTTAATCACCTCTGGGTTTTTTATTTTTTCTTAAACAAACCAAAAACTACTGAAAATTTTGAAAAAAAACGTTTTTTCTTAGTTTTTGTTATAAAATTTTGTAAATAAGTGATTTTTCTCCTTCACTGATGTGCGCTAATGAGGCTGCAGTGATGGGCACTGATAGGCTACACTGATGGACATTGATAGGTGGCACTGAAGGGCACTGATGAGGAGGCACTGGTAAGTGGCACTGATGGGCATTGACAGACATCACTGATGGGCACTGAAAGGCAGCACTAATATATGGCACTGATAGTCGGCACTGATAGGTGGCACTGATGGGCACTGATGAGGAGGCACTGGTAAGTGGCACTGATGGGCATTGACAGGCATCACTGATGGGCACTGAAAGGCGGCACTCATATATGGCGCTGATAGTCGGCACTGATGGTGGCACTGACTGAATAAGTGGCACTGACTGGCACTGTTAGGGGGCACTGTTAGGCGGCACTGATAGGCAGCACTGGCGGGCACTGATTAGTCGATGCACACTGATAGGTGGCACTGATTGGCAGCACTGATTGGGCACTGACTGGCATTGATAGGTGGCACTGACTGGCACTGATGGGTGGCACTGAAAGGCAGCTCAGATGGGCACTGATATGTGGCATTAATGTGACACTGATGGGCACTGAAATGGGCACTGATGTGGCACTGATGGGCACTGACAGGTGGCATGGATGAGCACTGAGAGCTGGCACTGATGGACACTGACAGGTGGCACTGCTGGGGCTTCACAGATCATCAGGGCACACTGATCATCAGTGCTCTGATGATCTGTGTACATGTCCCTGAGGAATGCCGATTACAGGCTCTCCCCTCTTCACGAGCTGTCAGCGTGACAGCTCGTGGGGAGAGAAATGCCAATAACCGGCATTTCCCTGTTTACATGTGATCAGCTGTGATTGGACACAGCTGATGACATGACCGAGCCAACATCTTCGGCTCATTTTTGGGATCGGTGATCCGCTGTGTCCGAGGGACACACGCACTGCTGATCGCCTCCGGGAGCCGCGCATGAGTTAGAATGGGAGAAACATCATATGACGTCCTCCCAGAACGAGAGAACACCTTGCGTCTGTCATATTACTATATGGCAGGCGAGAGGCGGTGAAAATTAATCTTTCATAGTTAAAGGCTATTTCACAAAATGCAGACACTTTGTAGGAAACAGTATGCTAAGAAATGTTCATGGCACTCCAGATCATGTACTTTGTCAGTCATTCATGATTATGTGTCTATCAGTACATTTTGTCATCCTGGGCAACTCCATCATCCACACAGGAGTGATCCTACCTTTAGTCAGACACCCGTGGTCCCCCATTTAGATGCAAAACTCAAGATAAAGTTCCTCACCACAGGAAGACCCTGTGTCATTTGAGACCATTTACTACATGCCATGAACTCTGTCTGGAACAATGGGTGTGAATGAATGAGTGAGGGCATTTGCCTTCCCCTATCATTGTTCAGCAAGTGTTTCACAATGACGTTAGTGTATTTAAAGATAAAATTGTTTTAGTTTTGGATAGAGTAAGGACTCGCTATCATATTTTATTGTGGTCTGTGTTTCCCTTGGGGAGATCCACCCCTATATTAGTTCTGGTGACCATTATCTCCAAGACAGAAAGTGAGGAGAAATTCCACATCCATTGGGGACAAATATTCTGGTGACAACTGTCTAAGATGGGAATGCCACTTATTTTGCAGAAAGGTCTTCTGAAGATACTGTGAACTCAAGAGGGTAGGAAATGCTTTTTTCACTTTTGCCTTTTTGTCACAATACAAACATCCTCTAGAGAAATTAACAGTGATGTATAACTTGATATCTCCAGTCCATCAATCAGTTTTTCCACCCTTGGCTGAAACTATTGCTTATGTTTCAAACTTTGACACTTTGCTTAACTTCCTTGGACTACATTCACAAAGCAGTTTAGCAGTCGATAATTTGCTGCAATCAAATGCTGCTCAGATGAGCGGTAACATGCAAACAGTAATGGTGCCGGTCAATGATGTTGACAGCTGTTTGAACACAGTGCGCTGATTTACTAAAGACAAATAGACTGTAGACTTAATAAGGAAGTGTAACCCAGAGTTTAGTGAATTAGGTGAAGCTCTGCTGACTCCCATCATTTAATCTTGTGCAAGCAAATTATGTCTTATAATTGGAAGTGGTTAATAACATGATAAAATATAGAAAAACAGAAAATTGTATCATACTTACCATAATTTTCCTTTCCTGACGCCAATCCATGGCAGCATACATGAGATATATCTCCGCCCCTATATCCACCCACGGGACCTGTGTATATCTATAAAAGTCTGACTGAGAGCAACCTCCCACATTCTCCAAACAATCAAAATCAAACAAGGGAGGGTTCATATGCTGCCATGGATTGGCGTCAGGAAAATAAAATTATGGTAAATATGATACAATTTTCCGTTTTCCTGATGCCAATATGGCAGCATACATGTGATAAATAACTAGCTAAACAGGGAGGGCTAAACTGTATAATCAAACTGCATTACAATGGACATGGAAGCCTAGACTACTATTCTGTTGAAGTCCATTGACGTATAAACCCCTGGATCTCTCCTGTAGCGACTGAGGTAGGTGCACTTTGGTAACTAGCCTGCTGTTTTGCAAAAGTCTTCATAGACACTTTGCATGCGCTGCCCCAAATGTAGAGATGGACCTGGCTTAATAAGCCTCTACCACTTCTGGAGGCTCTAGCCTGGCTGCATTATGTTTTCAGGATGACCTTGACTGCAGCTTCCTCCTCTGAATTTGCCTGTTGGAAACACGAACAGTCTCCCAGAGGATTTAAACCAGGAAGCAGCTTGAAGGTAGGCATCTTAGATACCTGGTATATCCAGCTTGTGTTGGTTAGGTACCATCTGTGCCAGAAAGGATGGACTCACTAATTTTTCAGATGAAAACTGAAGCCACCTGGGGCCAAAGGTGCTCGAGGGGCATAGGCCACAACTTATTCAGAAGAAAGAAGGAGGACTCTGCAGCTTGAAGTGCTTGCAGGTCCAAAACTCTGCCCCTTGAAGTTATCGAGGGACACTGCTTCGAGTGATGTCCTACTGAAGACTCCTTTCTATTGGTGCAAACAGAGACCTGGCAAGAAAATCCAGTGCCAGAATAAAACCCCATGGGGAAATGTTTGTCTCAGGACCAACCTCCTGAAACACTCATATTCCCTGAAGAAGCTGAAATGGCTGAAAATCCCAAAAATGGGCTTTACCATATGTGCGGCAAATCAGCCACACTAGCCTGCGGGGGGTCCTCTCAACAAAACTCCTGTAGGGGTTGAAAGGAACGAAATGGACCATGGCTGTTCTTTCTTCAGAAAGGTGCCTTTACACACTCTTCCACCAGCTCTTGAAGTTTCTCACTCTGGCGAAATAGTCTTGAGTCTTGAAATGTAAAGTGCGTCAAACTAGCCAAGAGAACTGACCTGAGCCTTGACCCCCTATGAAGGGGAAAGCCAAACTAACCATTGACAGCTCTTGAAATAGTGCTTAGCGTAGGGATGCTGATTGGTATACAGAGCTGCCTGTCAAACAAGAGCATTAGGGCTTGTTTGCATGGGCAGATAACATCCTCTGAAAAGTGATCCCACATAGTCGCTTTTTATAGGGCATTTAACAGTTGGTTTAGTATTGTCCATATCTTTACAGTGGAGTGCAGTGCTGTAATGTGTGTTACTGCAATGCATGTTAAGTGCGTTAGCATGTGGCCCTGCCATTATCTTCAACAGAGAATTGGTATTTTCCTCCTGGATAGGGTATAATTTTGCAGCTGCTTACTAATGAAAAACGTTATACCACTATTGCCACTCCTCTTGAACAACCTCTTCATCCTTCCATTCATTGGGGGCAGTGCAAAGTTGTGCCTTGAAAATGTGAAGTATGTTCTGACTTCGAAAGGCAGTCATCTGGCTCATCCTGTTCTGGGCCTGCTACCCTAATGAATGACTGGACCCAAGAGACACTTGAACCCTGCTTAACCTTGTCAAGGAGGATGATTGACCTTCTTCCACCTCTGGTGAAGCCAGGTGCAAGGCAAAAGTGAATGGCTTGGATAAAGCTGCCTCCAGAGCCAGGAATAAAGATGGCTATGATGGACTTGGGGCCCCCTTGGTAAGGAGGGCCATGGTGCCCTGTACTGCTGTGCAGAGCTGCATCCTTGACGTTTTGCCCGGAGTCTACTGGCATAATTGATTGGAGAACTCAGAGGATCATTAACTATTTGTCCATGAAGGACCGTGACTTGCTGGCTCCCAGCCTCCTTTGTCCTTAGAGAGGTTTCAGTGGTAATATCATCAGACATGTTACTCTGGTATTAGGTCCATGCCACAGACTCAGCACTCTATCCTTTGTCACTCTTAGAGCTCAGGGAAGCAGAGATGCCAACACTCACTGGGAATTCTGCGGGGCTGGAAGAGCCACTGGACTCGTCATGGCATGGCAACGGTATTTCAGCTTGACCTTAGGGTCGGTTCACACTATAGAAATGCAGTCCAGATGTGTTCCGGATGCGTTTTTGCATGCTCATTTTTTACGTGTTTTCAGCATGTCACAGTGAGTTTTTTATGCATTCCAGTGAGTTTTTCCCTTCTCTATTGCTTCAATTAAAATAGGGACATATGCATTCCAGTGCATTTTTGGCGCATTTTGGTGCATTGCGGTGTGTTCCAGTGCACTTTACTGCGTTCTAGTACAGTTCTGTGCAGAAATTTTTTAAAATTGAATTTAAAAGTTTAACCAAGAGCTTAGTGAATTAGGTGAAGCTCTGCTGACTCCCGTCATTTAATCACGTGCAAGCAAATTATGTTATATAATTGGAAGTGGTTAATAACATGATAGAATATAGAAAAGTATTTTGCTGTATCCAGGGGCGGACTGATCATTCGAGCACTCGGGCACTGCCCGAGGGCCCGGGGCCAGTAAGGGGCCCCATGAGATGCCCTTGGTACCTTTCATTGGCTTTTTCATAGGCTTTTTTGGGTGTTGGCGAGTTCACAGGGGCCCCATGATCCCCTATTGCCCGGGGGCCCCATGAGTTGTCAGTCCGCCCCTGGCCGTATCATATGAGTAGGAGGAGTTAAGATAAGATATTAAAATATAATAAGGGGTGTAGTTACTGAAATAAAGATTTGAAACAGTATACAGATAGTTTAATAGTATAATTTGTACAGAAGGAATAGTGAATTCACCAAACATAAGCATGAAGTCAACCAGGACTATCTACACCCTTCTAACATTTAGAGAATGTTATAAAGTTTGATCCATGCTCGTCTCAATGGGAAAGATAGAGCCTTCACTTGGTCAAAGCATATGGCAACTTCACTTCCTGGTCAGCTTTGTTGTTTCCCCAAAAGTTACATGGTCAAGTCCCTCATCACTTTTTCCCAAATCCATTTCATCCCCTGTAACTATCTGTTTAACCAGACTTTTCAGACCAGCTAGGCAACAGCATTAGAATTTTACCCACTACCCACTGACCTGGCACATATAAGGGCCCTTTTGGTGGGTGGGCTTTAATGTTGAGCAGGCAAGTATATGTGTCTCTAGGTAAACACTATACTTCACTGAGAGCACACTCCCTGCGCGCTCCCAGCACAGTAACAAGCGAGTACCAGAAAGCTCATGGAGCACTTGCGATCGGGAGCTTTCCAATCATGTAACTGCTATGCCTGCCAATCACAGCGGTCATGATCGAAATGCCCACCTCCCGGCATTTAGATCCTTTTAAAAGGCT